TCATTAGCAGAGAGTGCCCGGGAATACTGCCGCCCTCCTGCTCAGGAGCAGGACTAGAGACCCTCACAGAGGGCTGACTTGATGCCCATATTCCACTGGACCCAGTCCAGCTCCAAAGAGACTCTTCTCACACAGATGCAGGACAGGATCCTTTACTGAGAGGCTCAGGAACATCAAGAATAGTGCGTGGAGGGGCTGTGGGGCTCAGGTGTCTGAGACACACACAGTTCTGTGCTGTGATGGCATGAAGGGAAGTGCAGTTTCTGTAAAGATGATAACTGGGCCGAAAGGACTTCTTTAACCAAACCAATCAGATGTTTACAGCACAGTGTGAGGAACTGAAGCCAACCAGGGTTCAGACAGCAGCTTTGCAAGTTAATGTTTCTGAGACAGCACCAGCAAGTGAACATTTCCTTTGCTCTGAACAGGAGATCAGCAGCTCAGAGAGAGAGGGAGAGAGAGGCCACGAGGAGGGAATTCACCCCCGTCAGCATCTGGCGACAGACAGCACAAAGGTAGGCTCAGGGCATCAATTCCCTCAACATCATTTACATTAATGTTTGACCTCAGCACCAGATCACTTAAGATTTGCAGATTTGTGGAGTCCTGTAGCTTACAACAACATATATTACAAAGCCCCTTCATGCGTGGGAGCTTCCTGGAGCACTTGACAGTGGCAGAGTCTGACCCCAAGCTACGGGGAGAGGGAGGAGGGAGATGACCATTAGCACGATCAAAAAGGAAAGTCTTCAGGCAGGAAATGAAGGTGTGGAGGGAGGGGCGAGGAGGGGGAATTGAGGGAAAGATTTCCAGAATTTCGGGGCACAGTGGCTGAAGGTGGAACACTCGGCACGAGGGGACACTCGGAGGCCGGAGGCAGCCACGTGGAGCAGTGGGTGTTGGAGTGGGGTGGGGGTGTGGGGGTGTGGTGGGTCAGCGATCGGCTGTGTAGGGAGGTGTGAGGGGACTATATAACTTCAAAACGAATGAGAGTGTCTTGGAATCGAAGTTGAAAGCTTAATGGTTAGAGCGCCGTCAAAATAGCACTCGCCTCGCAAACGAGAGGAAATGGGATCGATCCCGGGCAGAGCAAAACCATAGGCAAGTTTCCCTACTCCACACACACACACCTCTGTTTATGCAGCTGTACGTGGGAACTCGCTTGTTAGACAATTGGTGGATTGCTTTTTGTGGGTAATAATACATTCTGTCTCTCTTTATCTGCCTGTAACTCCCGCTGTCTGTGTGTGTGTATCTGTATCTCTCTCCCTCTCTCTCTATGTATGCCTCAGTGTATCTATCTGTGCGCGTGTGTGTCTCTGCATTTCATTCTGTGTGTGTGTTTCTAACTCTCTCTGCTTATCACTGTGTGTATGTGTGTATCTCTTTATCTCTCCCTTTGTCTGTCTGTGTTTCTGTATCTTTCTGTGTGCGTCTCTCTGTGTGTGTCTGTATCTCTCTCTATATCTTTGTGTGGGTGTGTGTCTGTGCATCTCAGTCTGTGTGAATCTTTATATCCCTCACTGTGTCTGTGTGTGTCCGAATTTGTATCGCTGTCTGTGTGCTTGTGTATCCCTATCTGTCTCTTTTTGTGTTAAAGTATATTTATATCGATCTGGCTTTGTCTGTACCGAGCTTTCTGTCTCAATATCGATGTGTCTCTATATTCCTGTCAGTTACTGGTTACTGGAAACGATGTGATTTTGGAAACTCAGCTGCTTCTGTGTTCATAAAGAAAAATATCTGCAGGTCTGGGGTTTGTAAATAACGCCCTCACTCTGGTGACACAAGTGGATTCAACACAACATGGTTTTACAACTCAAATTAACATAGAGTTCACCCAAATCTACATTCTCAATCGTCTGATTATCAGTTAAGCAAACGGCCCCAATTTGAGCTGTTGCTATGTGTTGATGGTATATTTGAGCTGTGTTTGGTTTACATGTTATTTTTGCCATTTCCTCTCGTGCTGTGACTGTCACCAACAGAAAGGAACAAGAAGCTGTGTGTTCAATTCTGCACATCCCCTGTGGTTAGTCACAGAAACCAGGGCCTGGTTTCCTGTCTTTCTATACAAGCAATGAGACAGATGCAGAACAAAATGTCGGGGCTTTAGCTGTTATGGCGCAGGGAGTGCAGTGCCCAAACTGTGTGGTCTGCGTGTCCCGAGATGTGTGTGACATTAATAGCATTAAAGTTCATCGGTATCTGTTTATGTACTTGTGTACGTCTCTCTTGAATCTCTCTCTCTCTCAGTCTCTATATGTCTCTTTCTGTGCACGAGTGTGTGTTTTTGTGTGTATCTCTACCTGTATCTCTCTCTGTATCTCTGGTTCTGTACTTGTGCGCGCGTGTGTGTGTGGTGTGTGTGTGTGTGTGTGCATTAGTGTGTTTGTGAGTGTTTAGGTATGTATAGGTGGGTGTCTATATGTGTGTGTCCATTGTCTGAGTCTGTGTCTCTATGTTTGTGCAGAGATGCTGCCACACACCAGGCTTCACCAGGTCTCAGTGGTCCAGAGCAGTCATTGAGTTGTACCCAGGCCTGTGACAGCTATGTTAAGGTTCAGGAAGATATATACACATTACATCACTTTCAGAAACTTTCTCATTGTGTCTCTCTGTCACTCTCTCTCTGTCTCTCTGCCTATGCGTGTGTGTGTATCTATATGAGTGTGTGTGTATCTGCCTCTCTGGGTCCCTGTATGTTTAGTGCTCTGTGTCTCCTTCTTTGTCTTTCTGCTTCTTCGTATGAGTTCATCTCTCTCTGTCCCTGTCTCTGTCTCTCTGTGACGGTGTGAGTGTGTGTGTCTGTCTCTGTCTCCCTCTCTGTGTCTGTGTGCGTGTATCTTTCTCTGTGTGTATATGTTTTCTCTCTCTCTCGCTCACTCTGTAAAATGTGTATCTGTCTCTCTTACCTGTATCTGTATGCTTGTATGTGGTTCATCTCCCGCTCTCTCTGTTAGTATCTCTCTCGCTACCTGTGTGCATTTCTCTCTGTCTGTCTGAATTTCCCTCTACGTGTGCCTGTATGTGTTCCTCTATGTGCCCCGTCTCCATTTGTCTACATGTATCTCTCTCTCTTACTGTCTAATTCTCTATGTATGTCTGTGTGTATCTATTTCTGTATTTGTGTAGCCCTGTTTGTCTGCATGTCTCCCTGTTTGTCTCTCTATCTGTATCTGAGTCTGTGTATTTCTCTCCGTATTGCTGTTCTTCTGTATCTCTCTGATTTTGCACATATCTCTCTGTGTATCTCCCTCTCTCTGTATTTCTCTATCTGTTTGTGTGTGTCTCTGTATAGGTGTGTGTCAAACTCTCTCTCCCTGTATCTATCCTCACCTATGTTTCTCCACATCTGTGAGTGTGCACAGCTGTCTGTGTTTCCCTCTCTTTTTCTCTCTCTGTCTCTCTCTCTCATTGTCACTGTGTATGTATCTCTCTCTCTCTCTGCCTGTGTGTCTGTGTTAGTATGAATCACTCATTCCTATCTGATTCTGTGCTTATATCTTGGTCTGTTTGTCTGTGTGTTTATCTGCCTATCTCTGTATCTATCTCTGTCTGCGCGTCTCTATATCTCTTTCTTTCTGTTTTCCTGTGCATGTATGTGTGTATGTGTAGGTGTCTTTATGTTTATGTGTACACGTTGTGTGTGTGTGTATGTCTCTGTGTGTATATCTATGTGTGTATGTCTCTGTGTGTGTATATGTGTCTGCGTGTGTCTATTTGTGTGCAAATGCATGTGTGTGTATGCGTATTTCTCTCTTTGTGTTTATATTTGCGTATGTGATGTGTATATGGCTTTATGTGTCTGTGTGTGTATCTATGTGTATGTGTGATGATGGGGAGGCGCTGTGATACACCATACTTTACCAGGTCTCAGTGGTCTGGAGCAGACATTGTGTGATTCTCTGTCCTGTGACAGCCATGATGAAGATTAGAGAGAGACACATACATCACATCATTTTCAGAAACATTACTATCATTCTCACTCTATCTGCCTTTGTGTGTTTCTCTGTATGGGTATAGCTCTGTCTGTCTGTTCTATTTTTCTTCGAACCCCTTCAGTCAGGTTTCCGTGCTGCCCATAGCACAGAAACTGCCCTGGTCAAGGTCACCAATGATATCCTGACCATCTGTGACCAGGGCTCCCTCTGTCTCCTCGTCCTCCTCGACCTATCGGCAGCATTCGATACGGTCGACCACGCTATCCTACTCCACCGCTTGTCCTCCCACCTCAACCTTCAAGGCACTGTCGTTGAATGGTTCAGGTCGTACCTTTCTCACCGTCTTCATTTCGTCTCGACGAATGGCTTCTCCTCCACCCCCGCACTGTCTCATGTGGTGTCCCTCAGGGCTCTGTCCTCGTCCCCTCCTCTTCACCCTCTACATGCTCCCCCTTGGTGACATCATCCGCAGACATGGAGTTAACTTCCACATGTATGCGGATGACACCCAACTCTACCTTTCCTCCTCTACTCTCAACTCCACGACCACCGATGTCCTGACAGCTGTCTGTCCGACATCGAGTCCTGGACGAGAGACAACTTTCTTCAGCTCAACGTGCGAAAAACCGAGGCCCTCCTGATTGGCTCACGTCAGCGCCTCCGCACCTCAGGCGCTGACACCATCAGCATCCAAGGCTGCACTCTCCACCTCGCAAAGCCAGTCAGGAACCTCGGCGTTTTGTTCGACCCTGAGCTGTCCTTTCTCCCTCACATCCGCACCACAACTGGCACCGCCTTCCATCACCTCCGGAACATCGCCAGACTACGGCATTACCTCACCCCTCACGCTGCTGAAACTCTAGTCCACGCCTTTGTCACCTCAAGGCTGGACTATGGGAACTCTCTCCTCGCGGCCTTCCTGCCACCTCCCTCCACAAGCTGCAGGTCATTCAGAACTCTGCAGCTCGTGTACTGTCCCGCACCAGACACCGCGACCACATCACTCCCACCCTCGCTCCCCTCCACTGGCTCCCCATCCCCCAGAGGATTGATTTCAAGATCCTCATCCTCACCTACAAGGCCATTCACGGCCTTGCTCCCTCCTACCTCTCCGACCTACTATCCCCTACCTACCTGCCCGTACCCTCCGTTCCTCTGGCTCCGGTCTGCTCCACGTCCCCCGCCCCAAACGCCCTACCATCGGTGGTCGGGCCTTCAGCCTCTCAGCCCCCAGGCTCTGGAACCCTATCCCCCAGTGCCTTCGCCGCTTCCTCCCTTTCCTCCTTCAAGGCCGGTCTCAAAACCTTTCTCTTTGACCGAGCCTTCAGCTCCCCTCTCGACTCTCTTCCCCCTCCTCACTCCCTCCCTTCCCTCCCCTTACCCTGACCATTTCCCCCCTCCTCGCTCCCTCCCTTCCCTCCCCTCACCCTGACCATTTACCCCCTGCTCGGGTCATGACCCAACTGTGCAGCGCCGTGGGACGTCCTCCTGACGTGAAAGGCGCTTTATAAATGGAATCTTGTTGTTGTTGTTGTTTCTGTATGTTTCCCTCTGTGTGTCTCTTGCTCTGTCCGTAACTCTCTCTCTACCTTTCTGCCTGCCTGACTGTGCGAATATCTCTCTGTATGTATCTCACTCGTCTATATCTGTACGTATTCATGAGTGTGCCCCTGTATCTCTCTCTCTCTCTGCCCATGTGTGTCTCTGTATCTGTGTGTGTCTGTGTTTCCCTCTCTCTGAGTCTCTGTATCTGTGATTCTTTCTGTTTGTTTCTGGACCTCTCTATCTCCCTTTGTCTGTATGTGTCTGTATCTCCCTCGCTTTCTATATTTGTCTTCAAGTGTATCTCTCTGTATCTCTCGGAATGTATGTATATATCTATGTATGTGTCTGTGTGTCCCTCTCTATATATTTGTCTCTGTCTGTGTGTGTATGTCAATGTGTATGTCTATTTATGTATGTATGTATATTGGGGTGCGTGTGTTTGTCTGTGTGTGTTGGTCTATGTGTGAGTGTCTGCATTTGTGTGTGTGTCTATGTATGTGTGTGTTTGTGTGACTTTCTGAGTGTGTCTATGTATGTGTGTGTTTGTGTGACTTTCTGAGTATATATGTGTGTGTGCCTGTGAGACTTTGTGTGTTTGTGTATCAATGTGTGTAGATATGGAGGTGGTGGCACACAGCAGACTTTACAAGGCCTCACTGGCATATAGCAGACATTTTGTTGTACCCGGGCCTGTGACAGCCATTTTGAGGGGCTGTTTCTCTGTTCATGAAGAAATAAACCGCAGGTCTGTGCTGTGTGGTTAAGGCCCTAATTGTGGTGACACGAGCGAAATCACGACAACAAGGTTTCACAACTCAAATTAACAGGATTTATACCAGATTTACGTTCTCAACCGTGCGATTGTCAGAGGGAAAAATGACCCCAGTTTGAGCTGCTGCTGTGTGTTGATGCTGTATTTTAAGCTGTGTTTGATTTACGTGTGTTTTTGCCCTTTGCTCTCGTGCTGTGACTGTCAGCATCTGCACATCCCGTGGTTAGTTATCCCAGCGCCTGGTTTCCTGTCTTTCTGTACAAGCAATGAGACAAATGGAGAACAAGAAGACGGCGCTTCAGATGTTCATTGAACTTGATTATACTACCTAAAATGCCATTTCGGATTGAACGAATAATGAACAATAATTTGGATAGCAATAAACCCGATGTGGAATCTTAGGTATTATCACGGGGCTAAACATGTTTCTCCCAGTATTATGCATAAAAATCCCTCAAATATAATTGGTTACTCACTTCAAGCTATTCAAAGGCCATTGCTGTTTGGTATTTGACTGATGTGTTTGCCCACAAAATCTCGTGAAGCAGTTAGTGATGTCCTCTTGTTGCGAATCGTACCATGTAAATGGAATATGCAATGTGTAATAATGTAAAAGTCATACTAATAATTAGTGGTAGTAATAGAGTTACAATAGAAAATTACAAAATTATATTTGTAGCAAATCATTTGGGAAGGATACGTTGGCAGGACTATGGGGAGAGAGTTGTGGAACGGATTTGGATAGCTCTTTTCAAAGAGCTAGAACAGGCATGATGGGCTATCTCTTCTCTGCTGTATAATTCTATGATTCTATGAAATTGGCTGATGCATTCACCTCTGAAATACAAATTCACGACAATTCACTGTAAATGGGGAAGTGTTTTCAGACATCCTCCTCACTTGAACGAAACCAAATGCAAGAAAAGTTAGTAAATTTATCCTTTTTCAGTAAGCAATCTGATTTGGCTTAAATCCTGTTTGTTACCCTGACTTACAGTTTACTTCATTCGCAGGATAAATGTCAAATGTGAGAAAGAAGGAAAGTCATTGGACATGCAAGCCTGATGGTATTGTCTGGTAGATCACGTCTGGATTCCCTGATCACCTTGTAAACGTTGTTCTACAATAAACATAAATAAGGCTCAACACCTGTCACAAAACTCACCACCAGCTCGGCTGCACTTAGCAGCAATGAAACGCCTTGTTGGAACATTGCTGGGAAAGAGGAAACAAAACTCGGAAACACCGAGACACGAAAAACCTGATGAATCAATGAAATGGTCACCATCACCACAACCAAACACATCCACATCTGGCGGGAATGAAACAGCGAGTGCATCTGCAGTTATCCAAACACGTGATACGGTTGCAAATCCCAAGCAGTGTTCCAGCATTTTGGGTGCGTCGAGTGAGATGGCTTCCAATGAAACTGAACCGATAGCCAATGCAGAGGGCGATGCTATGATCTGCGGTGTGGATCAGACACCCGGCAACACACCAGAAGCCAATGTCTTCTCTTTACCTGACTTTGAGGAAAGTCTTAAAGATACGATAACGAACAAAGGTAAGTAGTTTATTAAGTACTTTTACACATAAATAAATACTTTTATCTCACCAGCCTTGGAACTGGGAGATCTGTCAATGTCGATTTTGATTGAGCAAACTCCCAGTTTGTTTAATTGAAGATCTGGGACTTGTTTGACGGTTCATGAACCAAAACCCAGGTGATACAAAGCAGCCAGCCTGGCACATGGGCAAGTTTTGCAGTGACAGACCAGCCAGCCGGGCACATGGCCAAGTATTGCACCAACCGACCAGACAGCCTGTCACATGGGCAGGTTGTGCAGTGACAGACCAACCAGCCTGGCACATGGGCAAGTCTTGGAGTGAAAGACTAGTCATGGGGGAATGCATAATTCCCCCATGTCTAGTCTTTCACTTACAGCTCCTGTTTTCGCTGTAAACCACCGCCCTGACGGGTAGATTGGATACAGCCTACATGTATGCGGATGACACTCAAATCTACTTCTCCGCCTCCTGCTTCTCCTCCATTTATGTCTCCCAGTCCACTAATGTCCTGACAGTTTGTCTGACAGACAACAAAGTCTGGATGAGCGCAAACTTCCTGCAGCTGAACGTCTGCAAGACAGAAGCCACACTATTAGGCTCCCGCTAACCTCTTCATTCCTGTGGGTCCAAACCCCTCAACCTCCCCAGGATCTGACCCAAATGCACCAAACTCGTGCATAACCTAGGAGTCAGGTGAGATCCACGGCTTTCTTGTCTTCCCCAAATCCGTTCCCTGACCAGGATCGTTTTTTCCACCTCTGTCATATTGCACTCCTCTGTCCATAACTCACACCCACAGCTTCCACCTCATCCACGTCTTTGCCACCTCCCAGCTGGAAATTCCAAATGCCCTCCATGTTCGTCTCCCATGATCCACCATAAACAATATTCAATTAACTCCGCCATCCGGATACTAACCAACACACAGCTCTGGAGTTTCATCACACCAGTCCTTGCCAGGCTGCACTGGCACCCAATTTCCGAACGGATCAACTTCAAGTTCCTTTCTCTCATTTTCAAATGCCGACATGCATTTAACCGACATAATCAACCCCCAGTCCTCCACCCGCTGTCTCAGCTTGGCCTGCTCCGGCCTCCTGTTTGGCCCTCGCCCCCTCCGCTCCACCATCGGTGACCGTCCCTTCAGCCACTACGCCACAAAGCTCTCTAAGTCTCTCCCTTAATGCTTCCACCTTGCCCCTGGCTCCCCAGTTGAAGGGAGGGGCGTGAAGGCCAGTTGTTATTGAGTGGTCCCAGCGAGATAAACAACGGACACACATTAGGTTCAGTGCTCTCAATAGTTTGAGCTGTGTGGCTTTTTTGTTAAACTACAGCAGTGAGACACAACATAAACGCTAGATACCCCAGAGACATCATTTCATCTAAAATATGTAATATCCGACAGGCAGCCTCATCCAACTGCCTCTTGTTGCCCACCAACCCGCTTTCTGCCCTCCTCACCCTCCCCTATCAGCAGATCCTACCTCTACCCCATCCTACATTCCTTCCTCCCCATCTTTCCCTCATCCCTGTCACCTACCATCACCTCCATGAAAGCCACCACCTGCTGCCTCGATCCCCTCCCCACCAACGTGCTGGTCACCCAGCTCCCCTTCCTCTGGCCACTATAGGCTGACATCATCAACCAGTCCCTCCCTACGGATCAGACCCTGCCCCCTCAAAACTGCTGCCATCACACCCTTCCAGAAAAAAAACCTTCGCAAGATCTCTCCAATCCCAGCCATTACCGCCCTATTTCTAAACTTCCCTTCCTCGCAAAAGTCATAGAGCGCGTTGTTGCGAAACAACTCCGCACACACTTCTACTCCCACTTCCTCTACAAACCCCTCCAATCTGGTTTATGCCCACAGTACCGAGACTGCACGTATGAAAGTCACAAACGACATCCTCTCTATCTGTGACCAGAGCTCCCTCTGCCTCCTTGTCGTCCTGGACCTCTCCGCTGCATTCGACACAGTTCGATCATGCCATCGACCTCCACCACCTATCCTCCGTCATCCATCTCAGTGGGACCGCACTCGCCTGGTTCGAGTCCAACCTCACAAACTGCCAGCAGTACATCTGCACAAACGGCTTCTCCTCCCGCTCTCACCCGGTCACCTGCGGGTATCCCAAGGATCCATCTTTGGCCTCCTCCTCTTACTGATCTACATACTCCCTCTTGGGGATGTCATCCGCAGATATGGGGTATATTTCCACATGTACGGGGACGACACCCAACTATTTTCCCAGCTCTCTCTTCGCCCCCCAGTCCCCTGATGTTCTGTCAGCTGACTGTCGGATCTCAGGGGCTGGATGAGCGCAAATTTCCTTCAGCTGAACGTTGACAAGACGGAAGCCATACTCTTTGGCTCTCGTCAACGTCTGAAGTCTCATGGTTTTCACCTCCTCAACAAACGCAACCTCCCACTAAATCTCTCTGAACCCGTACGTAACCAAGGCGTCAGGTTCGACCCACAAATATCCTTTCTCTCCCACATCCAGTCCCTCACCAGCACCGCTTTCTTCCAATTCGGACGCATCGCCGTCTCCGCCAATATCTCACCACAAAAGCAGCTGAAACCCTGGTTCATGCCGTTGTCACCTCTTGTCTGGGCTATTCTAACGCCCTCCTCACTGGCCTCCGATCCATTTGTGAAATCCAGATTATTCAGAACTCTCACCCGCACCAAACTCCGCTCACTGATCCCCCAGTCCTGGCCAGACTGCATAGCTGCCTGTCTCAGAGAAGTTCAACTTGAAGATCCTCAACTTGTCTTCTAATCTCCCCACTCCTCTGCACCCCCGACCTCTCTTACCTCCTCTCTCATCACAACAGTGCCCGTTGCCATCTCTCCACCGGGTCTGGCCTCCTCCTTGTCCCCCGAATCCTCTGCCACCAGCCACTACTCCCTAAGGAGCTCTGGAACTCCCCTCCTCACTCCCTTCATCTCACCCCCGCTCTTCCCATTTTTAGGTCTCTGCTGAAAACCTTTCTTTTCGATCGCGGCTTTGGTCACCTTGCACTCCCACCGTGGCTAGGTCCCAAGATCCGTTACTGTGAAGCTCTGAGACGCTCTGGAGAGCACTATATAAATCCAAATTGTTGTTGTAGACATAGTAGTTGGCAATCTGAAAGCCATAAGACTGAACATCACTCTATTCCAGACAAAGGGAATGTTCTATGTGGCATTTGTATAAACATAATATGCACAATAAAAAAAATACTAGTTGTCCTTGATTTGATTTAGCTGCAAATCATGTAATAAAAATCATTCCATATCAGGAAGACAACCCAAAGCGAATGTGACTGTGAGTCTTGTGGGAGAATGTGACAATATGCAAACAACAATGTCCCTCAAATAGCCATGGTGTGAGAGACCAATTTTGTTTGGTGTTTATTTATCCAGGATAGCGGGAGAAACTCCCTTATTTTAATCAATAGCAGAGCAACAACAAATTGGGCTTTGGTTAAGTGCCCACTCTGAATTTGGCAGCTCAGTAGTGCAGGATACCCCAGCAGTGACCTGCTTTGCAGTGAGAAGATATGAGATCCATTTCCCGCGTGTGGCTTCAACCCTCAAAACGCTCTGATAGGTTTATCTGAATATATTTAATACACGTGTTCGAAACTTTTTAGGGATTTTGAGAGTAGAGAGGCTGTAACTGTTTCTCTGGAGGGTCCATGAATGAGGGACACAGACTTAAGATAATAGGCAAAAGAACCAGAACAAAACGGGAATGATACCACTGAGCCAGGCTGGCAGCTCTCTGATGTTAGCTACCAAATGATATTTTAGGCCAATGGATGATGGTTTATTCAGATTTTTTCCAACAATAAATGTAATATTTCCTGAAATATATTTTTACAGAGTACAAGTAAAATCATTGCTGACTAACGTTTTTACTGGTTACTAACAGGCACAAACACTTTATTCACCGAGACCCTGGCCCTGTACAACGGGTACCAGCTGCAGAGACTGACAAAGTTCTATCGGGACAGATTGGAACAGGCCATTGAGGAAGGTGTGGAGGACATCAGTTCAAGGCTGACACAGAAGGAATGTTTCAGCCCCCAGGAGCACAAAGTAGGTTTGAGTCAGGAGGGTTCCCTTTCATTTATTAAAAGCTCAGCAAATCTGTGCCTGTCTGCATGGCTCATGTGCTGCTGTTATCAGGAAATCAGCAGAATGCCAATCAACACTTAATCAGCCAGTTGTGTGGTAACGCAGGCCATGCACTATATGTTTGTAGTGGAGCAGTACTGCACAGTGTAATAGATGTCGGTTTATATAGCGTTTGAATAGCACCGTTCACATGGCGAGGCAGTCTCAAGGCACTAACAGTTGAAAGTTAGAGCCCGAGCTGGATTTGGGAAGAGAAGGGGAGGGAAGATGGTCAAAGACATAGTCGCGGAGGAAAGCAGTTTGTGGAGGGAAGGGATAGCAAATCCAGCCAAGCCATCAATTGGTCTGGGTATTGCTGATCACCGTCAGTGTTCATGTTTCAATACATTAATGCTCACTCTCTGCAGAAACTCACTGAGCTCACACACAGTGGGAGGAAGAGACAAAGCTCAAAACTTCTTCTGAACATGGTGATGGGGAAAGGTTCCCAGGCCAGGATAGTGATGTGGGAATCCTTTGTGAAAATGAGGCCAACTTTGCAAAAACTGAACAAAATCATGACTGAAATACAGGAACAAGGTAATGTTATACATATTACCATGGGCCGAATGGCCTCCTTCTGTGCTGTAACATTCTATGAATGTGTGATGGTACGCAGTGGCTCCATTCTGTGGCGAGTTACAGATTTTACTCAAATAGTATTGAGAGAAAGTTCATTCAAGCTGGTAATATAAACTCTATTCAAACAGGTGCCAGTCTAGTGAATGAGGTGACCATCGACCGAGGTGTACCAGACGTCTCCAGTGATATGAAAGGTATGAGACAATGACAAGATTCAAGCCAGTCAATCACTTCCGAAATAAACAGTTTAAAACTTTACCATTTACTTGGTGATTTCCAGAAAACTAAAATGAGGAGGAGAGACGGTAGTAGGCAGACACAGAGAGAGAGGAGGGGAGCAGGGAGGATTGAAGATGAGGAGGGAGGGGAATGGTCCTTATTGGATTCTTAGATTATTTCAACAAATATTGCTTTGGTATGATTTTTCTCACAATAATCAGATGAAGTCTCACAAGTCGTCATATAATGGCCTGAAAATCTCCATGGTTTGAATGCAGTTCAGAGTGTTCAACCCTTGTTTGCCTGGCTCAGTTGGTGATCCTTTTGTCTCGGAGTCAGAGGTTGCTCAAGTTCACATCAACAGGACTAGTTGACACTCCAGCTCAGTTCTGGGATGTGCTGCATTGACGCAGATGCCACCATTGGGATATCAAACCGAGGTCGTGTCTCCCTTTTCAGATGGACTTTAAAAACCCCAAGATACCATTTGAAAAGAGAAGGGAGTTTGACACTCCCGGTTTTCCGGCTAAAATCTCACAAATAAATGTGGTGACTCACTTCTGGGACATCGCTTTGCACAAATTAGCCGCTGTGTTTGCCAGCGAAAGACAGCCACTACACCCTAGGGTTAAGCTAGTGCAGCGCTTTGGGCAGTCCTCCTGCCTTGAAAGGCCTTACACTGAATAGAAGTATTATTGTTAAACAATGCTCAATAATGCTTCTATTTACTTTATGATTATTTAATATTCAACATGAAGCTATTCAGCGACTGCACAAGGAGACGTTACAGAAACAATGTGAGAAACTAGAAGTGAAGACCATCCTGATAAAGGAGAAGGTGAGGACGTTTCAGTTGGTTGATCGCTACACGGAATTAACAATCATTTCTGATCTCCGTCACCGGAAACTGGTAGAACATGAGCTGCTGGCGAGAGGCAGAGACCACGAGGAGTGGAGACAGAAGCAACTCCGGGGAGAGCTGGAAAAAATCCGAACTGATAAACTGTTCCACAGCAGCTTCTCAAAAATAAATAATTTACCTTCTTCTCAGGGAAGCGGATCTGACCCTCCTACAGGGACTTCCGCAGTAGTCAGTGGAGTGGCTGGGATTGGAAAAACAACCATGGTGCAAAAGATTGTCCATGACTGGGCCACAGGCAAAATCTATCCTCACTTCCACTTTGTATTCGTTTTTAAATTTCGAGACCTGAACAGACTTCACGACAGAACAACCCTGAGCCGTCTGATCGTGGAGCAGTATCCTTACCTCAGGGATGTTCTGGAAGAGCTGTGGAAACACCCAGAGAGGTTGCTCTTTATATTTGATGGTTTGGATGAATTCAGGGCAAGGATTGATTTCGCTGACAGTCGGAGAGACACAGAGCCTCAGCGCAGGTGCACAGACCCTGAATTCCCTTGTGATGTGTCTGACATTGTGTACAGTTTAATGCAGAAAAGGCTGCTGCCAGGCTGCTCAGTGCTGGTGACCAGCCGCCCCACTGCATTACAGTTACTGGGAAAGGCTCGGGTCAGTGTCTGGGCTGAAATCCTGGGATTTGTGGGTGAAGAGAGAAGGGAATATTTTCACAAGTTTTTTGAAGAACAGGAGGTGGCGGCTGCTGTTTACAGCCACGTGGAGGAGAACGAGCTCCTGCTCACCATGTGCTACAACCCGTCCTACTGCTGGATCCTCGCTCTGTCTCTCGGTCCCTTCTTTACACGGAAACACAGCAACAAACAGCGAGTTCCCAAGACAGTCACACAACTCTTCTCCTATTATATTTATAACATTCTATCACATCACAGTGTCAAGATGAAAAGCCCTCGTGATGTGCTGCTGAAGATTGGTGAGATGGCCTTCACTGGTGTCTCCCAGAGAAACATTGTCTTTAATGATGAAGATCTGATCAAATATAACCTCCAGCCTTCCCAGTTCCTCTCTGGGTTTCTCATGGAACTTGTGGAGAGAGAGTCTTCAGAGCACAGCGTGGCCTATACATTCCCGCACCTCACCATCCAAGAGTTTGTAGCCGCACTCTTTCAGTTTCTGCCTCAAAATGCAGGAAATCTGCGGAAACTCCTGAATGAAGCTCACAGGGAGAAGGACGGCCGGTTTGAGATATTCCTGCGCTTTGTTGCGGGTCTCTCCTCCCCACGGGCAGCTCAGCCACTGGAGGAGTTTCTGGGGCCATTTGTCCATCAGACAACCTGCGCTGTGATCGAATGGCTGAAGGGAAGAGTTAAAGCTGAGATGCAAAACAACAAGAGCGACCGTGGGAAAAGGAATCTGCTGAACACACTCCACTATCTGTTTGAGTCTCAGAATCAAACCCTGGCACAGCAAACACTGGGCTCTGTACAAACACTATCATTGGGTGGCGGCTCTTCAAAGATGACACTGACACCGATAGACTGTGTTGTGCTGTCTCAGGCCATTGCACTGTGTGACACAATAAAACAACTGGAACTGAGTCACTGCAACATTCATGATGAGGGTCTCCAGCGTCTGGTTCCTGCTTTGTACAAATGTCAGGTGTTGCGGTAAGTTATTTTTGTAAATATTATTCTTATTTCAAAGCCATTCTAGAGGACTTTAGTGACATTCTTTAGTGACATTAAACACCAGATGATCAATGGGAGAATGGTATCGCACAGTCACTGCACGTTATCACATATTCTCTCACTCAATCTCTTTCTCTCTCCATCTCTATCCCTGACTCTTGTTCTGTCTCTAACTCTCTCTCTCTCTCTCTCAGTTTCTCTCTCTCTACCAGTCCTCCGCCTTCTCTCTCCCCCAGTCAGTCTCTCTCTTTCTCAGTTTCTCTCTGTTTCTCTTGCAGTCTCTCTCTCTCTCTCGGTATTTCTCTCGCTATGTCTGTCTCCCCCTTAGTCTCTTTATGTCATCATTTCTCTGTCTTTCTTACAAAACACGTAGTCACTGCAAGTTATAATATATTATCTTTCAGTCTCTCTCTATCTCTCTCAGTCTCGTTCTTTCCGTCACTCGCAGTCACTATCTCACAGTATCTGTAACTCAGTCTCAAATTCCTTCTCAGTCTCTCTATCTCTCTCCCACTCAGTCTCTGTCTCTGTCTCACCTACAAAATACAATGTCAATAAAATATATAATATACTCTCTCTTAATGTTTCCCTCTCTTAGTCTCTCCTTCTATCAGTCTCTCCTTCACGCTCCCTCTCTATTTCTCTCAGTGTGTTTTCTGTCTCAGTCTCTCTCTCTCTCGCTCTGCCTCTCCCGAGAAACACACGGTCACTATAATTTGTAATATATTTTCTCTCTCTCTCTCTCTCTCTCTCTCAGGGTATCTGCCTGCCTGCCTCTCTGTCTTTCTGTCTCTTTCTCTCTCTCTCTTTCTCAGAATCGGTCTCTCTACCCCAATCTCTCTCTCTCATTTTCTCACTCAAACTCGCTCATTCTCTCTCATAGTCTCCCACTCACACATACTCCCTCTCTCACAGACTCTCTCGCTCTGTCTCTTTCTTTCTCTGCCTCGCCCAAAAAACTCACCGTCACTACGCTTTACTATACATATTCTTTCATAGTTTCTTTCAATCGCCCTCTTTGTATATCTTTCTCTCTCAGTCTTTCCATCTTTCCTTTATTTCTCTCTTTCTTTCTCTCTTTTTCTCTCTCTTTCTCAGTTTCCCTCTGTCTCTCCACAAAATACAGTCACTACACGCTATATATTTTCGCTCAGTCTCCTCTAGTAATCATTCTGTCACAGTCTCACTCACTTGATGTCTCTCTTTGAGTGTCACTATCCTCTCTCTCTGTAACTCTGAGTCTCTCAGTCTCTCCTACACAACATACTGACCATCTCTCTCTCTCTCTCTGTGCCTTTTACACTCTCTCACTGTCACTCTTTCTTCTTGTCTCTTTCATTCTCTCTCTGTCTCTCTGTACTTGCTTTCTCTCACAGTCTCTCTCAGATTGAGTATTTCCCCGTCTCTTCCTTTATTCTGTCGCAGTCTCTCGCTCTTGCTCACCAACAAAACACTATCACTACCCTTCAGAGACTGTGAGAAAGAGGGAGACATTGTGAGACATTGTGAGTCTCTCTCTTCCAGAATACTGGAAGAGAGAGACTGAGAGAGAAAGAGAGATATTGAGAGAGAGAAACTGAGCGAGAGAAACTGAGGGAGAGAAAGAGAAAGCGACAGAGAGAAAGAAAGATTGACGGAGAGAGTTACTGGAGAGAGAGACTGAGTGAGAAAGACTGAGAGAGAGAGAGATATAGAGATTCAGAGAAGCTGTGGGAGAGACTGGGAGAGAGGGAGAATAGGAGAGGAAGGCTAAGAGAGAGAGAGAGAGAGACAGGCTGAGATAAAAAGAGAGAGAAGCTTTGAGGAGAAAGAAAATGTGTAGTGACAGTGCATTTTGTTGGAGAGTCTGAGCGAGAGAATGAGAGAGAGAGAGAGAGTCAGAGCGAGTGACTGAGGGATAGATACTGACAGATAGAGAGATGGAGGGAGAGAGAGGATGTGTGAGAAAATGTGTGTTTTATGGGTAAGGCAGTATAAGACAGAAAGAGAGACTGGGAGAGAATGGCTGCGAGAGTGAGAAAAAGAAACTGAAAGAGAGCGTGAGAGAGACAGAGAGAGAGAGACTGTGAGAGAATGGCTGCGAGAGTGAGAAAAAGAGATTGAAAGAGAGCATGTGAGAGACAGACAGAGAGAGAGAGAGAGAATCTGCGAAAGAGAAAACGAGAAAGAAACAGAAACAGACTGAGACGAAGTGAATTCAAGAGAAAGAGACTGAGAGAGACAGAGGGATAAATTATATTATCAACTGCAGTGAAAGTGTGTTTTGTGTGAAAGGCAGATAGAGAGATAGAGAAAGAGACTGAGAGAGAGTGGCTGAATTAGAGAGCGAGAGAGCCTGAGAGAGGGAGAATTAGTGCGAAAGACTGAGCGAGAGAGAGAGAGAGACAGAGATAGATAGACAGGGGGAAAGATAGCGAGAGAGAGACTGTAAGAGGAAATGCAACAACAAAAAAATGACAGTTATAGAGCGCCTTTCATAGCGGGTGTACACCCAAAGGCGCTGGACACTCAGTTGTGGGGGTCCGAGGATGGGTGAGGGGTGGTGTGGTGGTAGGGGTGGGGTAGTTGGGAGCTTTGGGGTGGGGATGAGGGGTGGGGTGTGGATGAGGGGTGGGGTGTGGGTGAGGTGAGGGCGAGTGGTGGTGAAGGTTGAGGTGTGGTTGAGGGGAGAGGTGGGGGTGAGGGAAGGCAGAGAGGAGTGAGGGAGGCCAAAGTCATGGTCGAAGATAAGTGTCTTCTATGAGTGGGAGACTGAGAGAGAAAGAAAGACACACAGAGAAAGGCAGAAAGAGAGAATGACAGAGGCAAAGCAAGAGACAGAGAAAGAGACTGAGAGAAAGTGTCTGAGAAAGAGACTGAGTTAGAGAATGTCTGAGCAAGAAACAGAGAGAGAGAGACTGAGGAGAGAGAAACAAAGAGAGAGAGGCTGTTTGAGAGAACATATTATAAAGTGTTTTGACTGTGTGTTTTGCAGGTGAGACAGAGAGAGAAAGAGACTGAGGGACGGAGAGGGAAAGAGAAACGGGGACAGACGGACAAAGGGTTAGAAATAGAGGCTGTGAGACATAGAGAGAGAGAGGCACTGAGTGAGAGACAGATAGACAAAGACATAGATAGAGAGAGAGAGACTGGAGGAGTGAGAGACTGGGAGAGAGAGATTGAGAGAGAGAATAAGAGAGAGAGAGAGTGACTGCGAGAGAGGGGGAGAAATAGACAGACAGAGAGCCAGACAGAGAGAGAGAGAGAGAGAGACAGAGCGAGAGATAGAGAGACCAGAGAGAGAGAGAGAGACAGAGAGGGAGACTGAGAGACAGAGAGAGAGAGAGAGAGAGACTGCACAAGGGACTGAGGGAGAAAGAGACTGAGTGAGAGCGAGACTAAGCGAGATAGACTGAGAGACAGGCTGAGAGAGATAGAGAGAGAGAGGGAGAAGCTGAGAGTGTGGGAATGAGAGTAAGACTGGGACTGAGAGAGGCAGAGTGAGAGACTGAAAGAGAAAGACTGAGAGAGAGACATAGCCTTAGAAAATGTCTGAAAGAGACATTGAGAGAGAGAGAGAGAGAGAGAGACTGTGAGAGAGAATGCATTGTAACGTGTAGTTACTGGGTTTTGTGGGAGAGACTGAGAGAGTGAGACTGTGAGACGCAGAGAGTGAGACAGAGAGAGAGGGGGAGAGAAGGAGAAATACAAGGTGAGAGAGAGTAACTGCGATATAGAGAGCAAAAGAGGCAGAGAGGGAGTGACTGAGAGGGAGAATATATTTAAAGTGTAGTTACAGTGTTTTATGGAGGAAATTGAGGGAGAGAAAGAGACTGGGAGAGAATATATTATAAATGTAGTCAATGTGGAGTCCTGTAGCTCAATGGTTAGAGCATTCGCGTTGCAAGCGAGAGACCTGAGTTCAATTCCAGGCAGAGGGCGAAACCTTGGGGAAGTTTCCTGACTCCTCACAGAGCCTAATAATAATCCTTCCAAAACCAAAACCAATAATTAAAATTAGTCATTTTCAATCTATGACTGTTTGTGGGACATTGCTGTGCGCAATTGGCTGCCGCGTTCGCCCACAAATATACAGTCAACTCACTTTACAGTATATTCTGTGAAGCGCTTTGGGACGTCCTCCCGACGTGAAAAGCGCTGTATAAAATGCAAGGATTATTTATTATTATAATGTGTTTTTTGGGAATGACCGAGAAAGACGGAGAGTGGCTGACAGAGTGAGACAGACAGAGAGAGGCAGACAAAGACAGTTAGAGAAAATATATTATTATGAGAAGTGACCATACGTTTTGTGGGAGAGAGAAAGAGATACGAGGAGAGAGAATAACTGAGAGAAGCTGGGAGACTGAGAGAGAGATATAGAGAGAAAGCGTGGCTGAGGGAGAGACTGTGGGAGAGAGAGAGACCGACAGAGAGAGAGAGAGAGCATTAGAGATAGACTGTGAGGGAGAGAGAGATAGAGACAGAGGGACATCGAAAGAGTGAAAGAGAGTAACAGAGATCGACAGAGAGAGACGGTGTGAGAGAGATAGAGAGACGGAGGAGCGACTAGAAGGAAGAGAGAATAACTGATATATAGAGAAAAAGAGACAGAAAGAGAGTTTGGGTGGGAGATTGTGTTATAATGGGTGACTGCTTTGTAGGAGAGTCAGAGAGAGACTGAGAATGGGAGACTGAGAGAGAGAAGAAAGAGCGAGACTGCGAGGAAATATTATAATGTGTAGTGACTGTGTGCTCTGTGGGAGAAACTGAGACAGAGAGAGAGAAACTGCTGGAGAGATAGAGAAGGAGACTGAGAGAGTGACTGAGAGCAGGTAAGAGACACAATATGAGAAAGACAGAGAGAGAGCCTGAGAGAGATTGAGAGAGAAAATATATTATAAAGTGTACTGACTGTGTGTTTTGTGAGAGATACAGAGCAAGAGATTGTGAGAGATTGAGAGAAAATGTGAAATACTAGGAGACAGAGAATGTCTGCGAGAGAGAGAGAGGCAGACAGAAAAACAGACTGAGAGACGGATAGAGGGATATGCTGAGAGATAGAGACTGAGAGAGACTGTCTGAGTGACAGAGAGACTGAGAGAAAGAGAGAGACTGAGACAGAATATATTATAAAGTTTAGTGACTGTGTGTATTGTGGGAGAAGCAGAGAGAGAGAGAGAGAGAGACGGAGAGAGAGAGAGAAAGATACTGTGAGAGAGAGAGAGAGAGAGAGAAAGGGAATAAGTGAGGGACATTGAGAGAGAATATGTGAATATATGAGAGAAATGTAGTGACTGTGTTTTGAGAGGGAGAGACAGAGACTCAGAGAGAGAGGGACTGAGAGAAATAATGGGTGAGAGAGAGAGAGAGAGAGCAAAACTGCAGGAGAGATAGAGAAAAAGACTGAGATTGAGATATAGAAGTAAAGTGAGAGACTCAGCGACAGCTTCAGAGAGCCTGAGAGATAGAGACTGAGAGGATGAGAGAGAGAGTGAGAGAGACTGTCTGTGTGTGTGTGAGAGAGAGAGAGAGAGAGACTGCCTGTATGTGTGTGTGAGAGAGAGAGACTGAGCAAAAGAGAGAGACTGTGAGAGATAGTATGTCATAAAGTGTAGTGACTGTGTGTATTGTGGGAGAGGCAGAGAGAGAGAGAGACTGAGAGAGAGAGACATAGAAAGGGACTGAGTGAGAGACATTTAGAGAGAATATATGAATATCTGAGAGAAGTGTAGTGACCATGTTTTATTGGAGACACAGAGACTCAGAGAGGGGAACTGAGAGACAGAATGGGCGACAGACCCAAGAGATGGAGAGAGAGTGACATAGAGAGAATGGCTGAGACAGAGAGAGAGACTGTGTGAGAGAGAGGGAGAGAGAGTGTGAAGGAGAAACTGAGAAACAGAGAAAGAAACTGAGAGAAAGAGAGAGAGAGACTGTGATGTGTGTGTGTGCACATGTGTGTGTGTGTCTGACACTGGTCCCCGCGCCTTGGGACTTGCTCCCCACGTGAAGGGCTCCTGTATATACATGTCAATGTGTATTGTGTTGTTACACCATATTCCCTGTGTTTGTGTCCCTGTGTCCAGGCTGAGGGGCAATAATCTGGGAGATTGTGGAGTGAAGCGACTGTGTGAGGCTCTGAGGAACCCGGAGTGTAAAATACAGAGTCTGTGGTAAGTAACGCACTGTGTCTCCAGAGTCTGAATGACTCCAATATCTCAATGTGTTTATTGTGAATTGTCTGATCAGTGCGGCTGAATATTTTGATAGGAATCGGTGTGACAGTGTGAGGCCACAAGTCACCTTTCACATCAAACTCTCAACATGTGCTAATGTGTGTATCTGTGTGATTGTATGTGTCTGTCTGTATGTGTGTGTGTCTGTCTGTTGTTAGAAACATTTGCAACTATCTCCAACAAAATTACAATGATCCGATTCCAGTTTACCAATTGGTTGAGTTCAGTCACTTCTATTCAGGTCAAAACTGCAGGTAATACACAAATAAATGAAACAGTAAAATAACACACAAGACACAAAATGATTCTAACCCGATTCCTGTCTCAGCCCTGGTTGTGTCTCGCACTGCTCCGCAACCGTTTCCAAGAGATATCTAACACACCTTTGTTTACAGACAATTTCATAACTCCAGCCAAAGCTGTCTTTTTAAAGAAAAAAGAACTCCTGATAAGTTATATCCACAATATGTTTTAATTCTCCCTTTAACCACATTTTATTCTCTCCTGATCAGTCCCTTCGTCCACTGTGTTAGTGTGAACAGACCTTCTGTGTCCTTGTACGTCCTGACCTTATGTTGGCATTGGTTTGGGATCTGCCTTCAGTCACTGAGCTTTGCAGCCTTTGCACTTTATATTCTGAAACCACACTTTAACATTATACCATGACAACACTGTGTGCTTGTGTGTGTCAGTGCATGTTATTGTGTCTGTGTGTGTCTTGTGTGTGTCTGTTTGCGTATCTGTGTGTCTGCATGTTTCTGTGCATGTGCGTGTTTCTATGAGAGTTTTTGTGAGTGTGTTTGTTTGTGTGTGTTTTTGAGTGAGCTGTGTTTTTCGTGTGTATGTGCCATTGTGTGTGTGTTTCTTTGTGTGTTTCTGCGTGTGTATTTGTGCGAGTCTGTTTGTTCATGTGTATGTTTGTGTATATGTTTGTGTTTGTGTGTGCATTTGTGAGTGTTTGTGTGTGTCAGAGCCTTGGGACGTCTTCCCGACGTGAAAGGCGCTATACAAATGTTGTTGTTGTTGTTGTGTTTGTTTGTGTGTGTTCCTGTGAGTGTGTGCGATTGTGTGTGTATTTGTGTGTGTGTACCCAACTCTTCCCTTCACAAACTGCAGATCATCCAAACTCTGCAGCTCCTGTACTCACACACACCAGACTCCCCGACCCCATCACTCCCAACCTCGTCCGACCCCATCACTCCCACCCTCGCCCGACCCCATCACTCCCACCCTCGCGTGACCCCATCACGCCCACCCTCGCCCGACCCCATCACTCCCACGTTCGCTCCAAGTCTTTCCATCCTCCAGAAGATCGAGTTCAAGATCCTCATCCGCACCTTTAAGGCCATCCATGGCCTCGCCCCCTCCTCCCCTCTCTGACCTGCTGACTCCCTACCAACCTGCCCGCTTCCACAGTCCAGCGGGCTCCGGGCTGCTCCATGTCTCCCGCCCGACCCGCCCTCCCATCGGCTGCCGGGATTTCAGTCTCTCTGCCCCTACAATCTCGAACTCCATCCCATGGTCACTTCCATTCACTTCCTCCCTCGCCTCCTTCAAGACCCTTCTCTTCTGCCGGTCTCAAGACCCTTCTCTTCTACCGTGCCTTTGATCTCCCTCCCACTACTCTGCCTTCCCCCAACTCTCCCCCACCGATCCCACCACTCACCCCTTCCCCACCTCTCCCCCATGCTCGGGCCCCGACCCCCGACTGTTCAGCGCTCTGGGAAGTCCTCAGGACGTGAAAGGCGCTCTATAATTGATATTTTGTTGATGATGCTGTGTGTTTGTGTTTGTGTGCGTGTAAGTGTGTATGTGTGTTTTGATTGTGTCTGTGTGTTTGAGAGTTTGCATGTGCAATTTATGAGTGTGTTTTTGCGTTTGTTTGCGTGAGTGTGCTCACGTGTGCGTTTGTGTGTGATTGTATGTTTTTCTTCGTGTGTGCATTTGTGTGTTTGATTGTGTGTATGTGTATACGTGTATTGGTGTGTGTGTGTTTTTGTGTGTTTTTNTGTTTGTGTGCTTGCGCGTGTGCAATTTTGTGTGTATGAGTTTGTGAGTGTTTTTATGAGTGTTTGTGTGTGTTTCTGTGTGTGTTTGTGTGTGTGTGTATAGTTGCTTGTGTTTGTGTGTTTGTTTGTGTGTGTCTGTGTATGTGTATTTATGTGTGCGTTTTTATTTGATTTTCTGCTTCTGTTTGTGTTTGTGTGCTTTTGAGTGTGTCTTTACGTGTGTTTCCATGTGTGTGATTGTGTGTGTTATGTTTGTTTGAGTGTGCATCGGTGTGCGTGTTTGTGAGTTTGTTTTTGTGTGTATTTGTATGTTTCTGAGTATATATTTGTGCGATTGTTTGTTTGTACGTTTGCATGTTTGTATATGTGTGTGAATTTGTGCTTGTGCGCTTTTTTCTGTGTATGTGTGTTTATGTGTGTGTGTTTTTGTGAGTGTTTGTGTGGTTGTTTCTGTGTGTGTGCGATTGTGTGCGTTTGTGTATTGGAGTGTTTGTTTGTATGTGTATGTGTGGGTAAGTTTGTGTGTCTGCGATTGCTGTGGGTGTGCGTTTGTGCGTGTAATTTTCTGTTTGTATTTGTGTGTGTGATTGTGCGCATGTGTGTGTAGGTGTCTTTGTGTGCGTTTCTGCGTGTATATTTGTTTCTGTGAGTGTGTCTGTTTGTGTGTTTCTGTGTCTGTGTGGGTGCATTTTTTCTGTGGATCATGTGCTTGTGTGTGTTTATGTGTATTTATGTGTGTGTGTTTCTGTGTGATTTTGTTCATTTTTGTGTGTGCTTGTGTGAGTTTTTGCGCATGTGTGGTTGCGTGAGTGTGTTTGTGTGTGTATTTGTCTGTGGGTCATGTGTTTGTTGTGTGTGTTTGTGTATTGATGTATGTGTGTTTCTGTGTGTGTGTGTCTATCTGTGTATGTCTATATGTGTTTGTGTGCATGTCTGTGAGTGTGTGTATTTGGCTGTGGGACATGTGTTTGTGTGCATGTATGTGTATTTATGTGTGCGTTTGTGTGTGATTTTGTTTATGTTTGTATGTGTGCGTGTGATTGTTTGTGTGCCTGTGTGTATGCGTATGTGCAATTTTGTGTGCATGAGTTTGTGAGTGTTTGTGCGTGTTTGTGAGTTTCTGGGTTTAGTGTATGTTTGTTTGTTTGTGTATCTGTGTATCTGTATTCATGTATGCGAGTTTGTATGTGATTTTGTGTGTCTGTATTTATTTCTGTTTTTATGTGTGTTGGTATGTTTGTGTTTGTGCGTGGTGTTTGTGTGTGTACATGTGCGTGCGTGTTTGTGAGTTTGTTTTTGTGTACGCATGTTTGTTTGTGTGTTTCTGTGTGTGTGTATTTGCGTGTGTTTGTCTGTATTTTTGTGTATGTATGTTTGTGTTTATTTCTGTGTTTATGTGTGTTTATGTAGGTGCCTTTGCATGTGTTTGTGTGTGCGTTTGGGTGCCTGTCTGTGTATTTATTTGGGTGTGTTTCTCTGAGTGTGGGGGATTGTGTGCGTTTGTGTGTCTGTGTGCTTGTTTGTGTGTTTCGGTGTATGTTTTCGTACGTATGTGTTTGCGTGGGTGCGTTTGTGTGTGTGTGCGTTTATTTGTGTGCATGAGTGTGCAAGTGTGTTTCTATATGTATGTGTGTATTTCAGTGTGTCTGTGTGAGTGTCTCTGTGCGGCTGTGTGTATTTGGGTGTCTGTGTCTGTTTTTGTGTATCTGCATGTGGGTCATGTGTTTATATGTGTGTGTGTGAGTAAGAGTGTATCTGTGGATGCATCTGTGTTGGTGTGTATGCTGGTGTGCGCGTGTTTGTGTGTGTGTATCGCACTCCTACAACCTGTCCGGCATCAAACAAATTGTAAGGGACAGTAGGTCATACACACTGTGTTTACTCTTATCCCTGTTATGTTTCTGTGTCTCTGATCTCCAGTTTGGACAATAACAATCTGACAGCTGATTGTACCGAGGATCTGACCTCCGCTCTCAGCACAAACCACTCACTGACGGAGCTGCACCTGAATAATAATAATCTGGGAGATTGTGGAGTGAAGCGACTGTGTGAGGCTGTGAGGAACCCGGAGTGTAAAATACAGAGACTGTGGTAAGTAGCGCACTGTGTCTCCAGAGTCTGAATGACTCCAATATCGCAATGTTGTGACTGTCTGATCAGTGCGGCTGAATATTGTGACAGGAATCGGTTTGACAGTGTGAGGCCACAAACCATCGTTTACATCAAACTGCCAACGTGTGTTAATGTGTGTGTGTGTGTTCCTGTGTGTGTGTGTGTGTGTTTGTTTATCAGTGTGTGTCTGTGTGTGTGTCTCTGTATGCGTATCTGTGTGTGTGTGTGTGTGTGTGTCTGTTGTCAGAATCATTTGCAACTATCTCCATCAACTTTACAATGATCCGGTTCCAGTTTACCAATTGGTTGAGTTCAGTCACTATATTCAGGTCAAAACAGCAGGAAATACACAAATAAATGAAACAATAATATAACACACAAGACACAAAACTGTACAGATCGGATTCCTGTCACAGCACTGGTCGTGTCTCGCACTGCTCCGCTACCATTCCCGAGTGATATCTAACACACCTTCGTTTAAAGACACATTAATAACTCCAGCCAAAGCTGTCATTTTTTAAGAAAAACACATCCTTATATGGTTATATCCATAATATGTTTCAATTCTCCCTTTAACCACATGTTATTCTCTCCTGATCAGTGCCTTCGTCCAGTGTGTAAGTGTGAAGAGACTTTCTGTGTCGTTGTACGTCCTGACCTTATGTTGCCATTGGTTTGGGTTCTGCCTTCAGTCACTGAGCTTTGCAGCCTTTGCACTTCCATTTTATATTATACCACACATTAACATTAATCCATGACAACAATTATTGTCACCCTCACCCGACCCCATCACTCCCCATCCTCGCCCGACACCATCAGTCCCACCTTTGCCCGACCCCAGTGGCTCCCCATCTCACTGAGTATCTAGTTCAAGATCCTTGTCCTCACCTTTAAGACCATCCATGGCCTCGCCCCCTCCTCCGCTCTCTGACCTGCTGACTCCCTACCAACCTGCCCGCTCCCTCCGGCCAGTGGGCTCCGGGCTGCTCCATGTCTCCCGCCCGACCCGCCCTCCCATCGGTGTCCGGGCTTTCAGCCTCTCTTCCCCCACACTCTGGAATTCCGTCCCATGGATCCTTCCCCTCGCTTCCTCCCTGGGCTCCTTCAAAGCCGGTCTCAAGACCCTTCTCTACTACCGTGCCTTTGATCTCTCTCCCACTTCTCTGCCTTCGCCCACCCCTCCCCCATCGATCCCACTACTCACCCCTTCCCCACCTCTCCTCTATGCTCGGGCCCCGACCCCCAACTGTTCAGCACTTTGGGAAGTCCTCCGGACGTGAAAGGCGCTCCGTAATTGTCATTTTTTTTGATGCTGTTGTGCATTTCTGTTTGTGTGCTGTAAGTTTAAGTGTGTTTGTGCGTTTTTGGGTGTTTCTGTGTGTTTGAGAGTTTGTGTGTGTATTTGTGTGTGTTTTTGCGTTTGTTCGCGTGAGTGTGTCCGCGTGTGTGTTTGTGTGTGACAGTATGTTTTTCTTTGTGTGTCCATTTGTGTGTTTGATTGTGTGTTTGATTGTGTGTATGTCTGTACGTGTATTGATGTGTGTGTTTTTTATGTTTGTGTGTGCTTGCGTGTGGGTGCTTGCGCGTGTGCGATTTTGTGTTTATGAGTTTGTGAGTGTTTTTATGAGTGTTTGTGTGTATTTGTGTGTGTGTGTGTATATTTGCTTGTGTTTGTGTTTTTGTGTGTCTGTGTATGTGTGTGTTTGTATTTGATTTTTTGCTTCTGTTTGTGTTTGTGTGCTTTTGAGTGCGTCTTTACGTGTGTTTCCATGTGTGTGATTGTGTGTGTTATGCTTATTTGAGTGTGTATGTGTGCGCGTGTTTGTAAGTTTGTTTTAGTGTGTATTTGTTTGTTTCTGAGTGTATATTTGTGCGAGTTTTTGTGTGTATGCTTATGCATGTTTGTGTATGTGTGTGAATTTGTGCTTGTGTGCTTTTTTTCTGTGTATGTGTGTTTATGTGTCTGTGTTTGTTTGAGTGTTTGTGTGTTTGTTTCTGTGTGTGTGCGATTGTGTACGTTTGTGTGTTTGTATGTGTTTGTGTGGGTAAGGTTGTGTTTCTGTGATTGTGTGTTTGTGTGAGTGCATGTGTGTGGGTGTGTGTTTGTGCGTGTAATTTTGTGTGTGTATTTGTGTGTCTGTTTCTGTGTAGCTTTGTGTGCATGTGTGCGTGTGTCTCTGTGTGTTTATGTGTCTCTGTGTGTGTGTCTGTGTTTTTCTTTTTCTGTGTCGGTGGATTTTTTCTGCGGATTGTGTGTTTGTATGTGTGTGTATGTATTTATGTGTGTGTGTTTGTGTGTGATTTTGTTCATTTTTGTGTGTGTGCTTGTGTGAGTTTTTGCACATGTGTGGTTGCGTGAGTGTGTTTGTGTGTGTGTCTGTGTGTGTGTATTTGTCTGCGTCGTGCGTTTTATTTGTGTGTGTATGTGTATTTATGTGTGTGTTTCTGTGTGTGTGTCTGTCTGCGTATGTCTATATGTGTTTGTGTGCATGTCTGTGTGTGTGTAATTGGCTGCGGGACATGTGTTTTTGTGCGTATATGTGTATTTCTGTATGTGTTTGTGTGTGATTTTGTTTATGTTTGTATGTGTGCGTGTGATTGTTTGCGCGCGTGTGTGTATGCGTATGTGCGATTTTGTGTGCATGAGTTTGTGATTGTTTGTGCGTGTTTCTGGGTTTCTGTGTTTGACTGTGTGTACATTTGCATGTCTGTTTGTTTGTGTATCTGTGTAGTATTTACATGTGCGTGTTTGTATGTGGTTTTGTGTGTCTGTGTGTAATTATTTCTGTTTTTATGTGTGTTTGTATGTTTGTGTTTGTGTGTTGTGTTTGTTTGTGTGTACATGTGCGTGCGTGTTTGTGAGTTTGTTTTTGTGTATTCTTGTTGGTTTGGGTGTTTCTGTGTGTGTGTGTTTGTGTGTGTTTGTGTGTATGATTGTGAATGTATGTTTGCTTGTGTTTATTTCTGTGTTTATGTGTGTTTACGTATGTGCTTTTGCATGTGTTTGTGCGTGCGTTTACGTGCGTGTCTGTGTGAGTAGTTATTTATGTGTGTTTCTCTGAGTGTGGGGGATTGTATGCGTTCGTGTGTCTGTGTGCTTGTTTGTGTGTTTCTGTGTGTGTTTTCGTACGTACGTGTTTGCGTGGGTGCGTTTGTGTGTGTGTGTGCATTTATTTATGTGCATGTGTGTGTATGTGTCTTTCTATATGTATGTGTGTATTTCAGTTTGTCTGTGTGAGTGTGTCTATGTGTGCGCATCTGTGTGTCCGGAACCCGGAGTGTAAAATACAGAGACTGTGGTAAGTAACGCACTGTGTCTCCAGAGTCTGAATGACTCCAATATCGCAATGTTGTGACTGTCTGATCAGTGCGGCTGAATATTGTGACAGGAATCGGTGTGACAGTGTGAGGCCACAACCCATCTTTTACATCAAACTCTCAACATGGATTAATGTGTGTGTGTGTGAGTGTGTGTGTGAGTGACTGTCTGTGTGTGTGTGTGTGTCTGTGTATGTGTGTGTTTCTGCTGTTAGAAACATTTGCATCTATCTCCAACAACTTTACAATGATCCGATTCCAGTTTACCAATTGGTTGAGTTGAGTCACTATATTCAGGTCAAAACAGTAGGAAATACACAAATAAATGAAACAATATAATAATACACAAGACACAAAATGGTACCGACCGGATTCCTCTTACAGCACTGGTCGTGTCTCGCACTGCTCCGCTACCGTTCCCGATAGATATCTAAAACACCTTTGTTTAAAGACACCTTAATAACTCCACACAAAGCTGTCTTTTTTAAAGAAAAACAACTCCTTGTACGGTTATATTCGTAATATGTTTCAATTCTCTCCTTATCACATTTTATTCTCTCCTGATCAGTCCCTCCCTCCAGTGTGTAAGCGTGAAGAGACTTTCTGTGTCCTTGTACGTCCTGACCTTATGTTGCCATTGTTTTCGGTTCTGCCTTCAGTTACTGAGCTTTGCCGCCTTTGCTCTTCTATTTTATATTAAAATACATGTTAACATTAACCCATGGCAACAATTGTTTTATATTCTTAAACACATTTGAACATTAACCTATGACTACACTGTGTGTGTATTTGTGTGTGTGTCTGTGCATGTATTTGTGAATTTGTCTGTATGTGTGCCTTCTGGGTTTCTGTTTGCGTGTGTGTGTATGTGCGTGTGTCTGTATATGTGTGTCTATGTGTTTCTGTGAGGGTTTGTGGGAGCGTGTATGTGTGTCTGTGTGTGTGCGTTTCTTTGTGTGTGTTTGTGTGTCTCTGTATTTCTGTCTGTGTGTGTGTGTTTCTGTTTCTTTTGTGAGTGCCATTGCTTGCGTTTTGGTGTGTGTATGTTTGTGTATATGTGTGTCTTTGTGATTGTTTGTGCTTTTGTGAGTGTGTGTCTTTGTGTGTTTGTCAGCGCCTTGGGACGACCTCCCGTCGTGAAAGGCGCCATACAAATGTAATCTTGTTGTTGTTGCTATTGTTGTTGTTGTGCGTTTTTGTGTATGTTCCTGTGAGTGTGTGCGATTGTGTGTGTGTTTTTGTGTGTGTTTCCAACTCTTCCCTTCACAAACTGCAGATCATCCAAATACTGCAGCTCGTGTACTTTCACACACCAGGCTCCCCGACCCCATCACTCCCACCACCGCCCGACACCATCACTCCCACCCCCCCCCGACCCCATCACTCCCACCTTCGCCCGACCACATCACTCCCACCCTCGCCCGCCTCATCACTCCCACCCCCGCCCGATCCCATCACTCCCACCCTCACCCGACCACATCACTCCCACCCTCGCCGGACAA